TGAGCGATTAGATAAGCGGACCGACTCGATAACGATAATTTATTATGAATCGTATTCGCATGTACCTACGTAAAATCATTTTTGAATTTCTTATTTTCTTTGTTCTTTTCATTTTGACTGTTGAGGTGGACACTTGTTAGTTGCAGTCTACAATTACAATTTACAATAGGTAAGCTTTAAAACTTAATTAAACGTAATATTTATTATGTATTTAAAATTGTAAATGGTTTTGCGTGGGATATGTATTAGATGTATTATAGTTTTTTTTGTTTTCTATTTTTCAATTCACTGAATCGTTATCGGCACTTATTGCAGTATCTACTTGCAAATATCGTATAATCATAATTGTTTGAATAATAATAAAGTTGTGGTTAAAATATGTACTCACGTTTATTTTATAATTTTGCCATTTTGGAATCAAAAAAAAATATTTTTCTTATTGTGTTATAGTTTGTTATAACTTATAATCATTTAATTTTATGAAATGTATACTATAGTTACGAATTATATACTATAATTACTAAATAATTATTAGAATTAGAATTACTACTACAATTATGAAAATGGTAATTTCTTGTACCTCAAGCTGTTTATAAGGTTTCACTATAGGGCCAAAGTCATAATTTTTTTATATATTTTTTTATATTTAATTATTTATACATATTATATATATTATAAATTGTGTTATGTTCATTTTTCATGATAATTTTCTAATAAATAAAATTATTTTCTTTAACAGTTTCGATTTATTGATAATCAAACATAAAATAAAAATGTCTGGATTAAAAAAAAAACCCTCTGGAGCAGAATATAAAAAAAGAAAAGCTGCCAAAGAAATCGAATTTGAACGAAATAAAAAGTCAATGAATCTTCAGAAGCATTTTAATAGCACATTATCTGAAAGTAATGAGTTTCATAGTTCACCATCCACCTCGGCTTCAATAGGATCTAATAGTGAAAATACCCAGATTGAATCGGATAAAATTTCCAACAATCAATGTGATTCTATCAAAATTACGAGTAATTTTGTTCTTAATAACATTAATAAAACAATTATTCCTGATACTGCAAACAATGACATAAATAAAGAATCACATTTAGTTCAAAATTCTCCTGTTACGATCGATAATAATATATATGAGGGGGACGAGGTGACCGAGTGGTCTGACTCTTCCGCTGCGACGCAGCCGGTCGCGGTTCGATCCTCGGCCACCGGGCGGCATTTTTCTCCGGACAAGTCGCGGTGACCGGAGAGCAAGTGCTGCCATCCCCCACCCCCGGGGCATGGCAGAAACCTACGGGTGCCCCATTCGAAATTCTGCCAAAACAAACACACACGTGTTCCCCCTACCGTTCCAAAAACCTACAAACCATCAATACAAAAACCTACAGTACCTACTAATAGCTAATGGCCACAGTTGCCGGGCTCAGGATCAATTAAAAAAAAATATATATGATCATGATCCAGCTTTATGGCCTAAAGTTATAAGTTCTAAACTAAAAGATTTAATAATTTCGTATGGCCCTAGACAAGTGTTTTTAAAACAATATCCAAAGGATGATAAAGATCGACATTTTTCAAGTATTCATTATTCTCGTACACTCCCAAATAATGAACTTATTCCTCGGCGTTGGCTCATATATTCCGAAAGTTCAGATAGAGTATATTGTTTTTGTTGTTTATGTTTTCACCAAGGATCAAGATCTTCTCTGGCAAATACGGGCTTCAATGATTGGGTTCATTTATCATCCACCTTAAAATCTCATGAAACCTGTAGTAATCATATTTTATCTTATACTAAGTGGATAGAAACTGAATTAAGACTTAAAAGTGGAAAATCAATTGATCACTTGGAACAGTTACTAATTCAAAAAGAATCTGAGCGCTGGAATCAAGTTTTAACACGCTTAATGAACATTGCCTTATACTTGGCAGAAAATAACATAGCTTTCCGCGGAGTTTCTGATAAACTTTACAGTCCAAATAATGGGAAATATCTTGGTCTTATTCAATTGTTTGCCAAGTTTGATCCTATAATGCAAGATCATGTAACTCGAATTTTAAAAAATGAAATTAAGGACCATTATTGTGGAAAAAATATTTTAAATGAACTGATTCAAATAATGGCAGACAAAGTCACTGCTACAATCATATCCAAAGCCCACAAAGCTAAATATTATTCTATCATAGCTGATTGCACTCCTGATGTAAACCACATAGAGCAATTGTCTTTGACTATCAGATTTGTCGATTTATCTAAAGAAAATGTAGATATAAGTGAACATTTTGTTCAATTCACTCCTATAAACGATTCAACTGGAGAAGGGCTGTCTGAAAGTATTTTAAATTTATTAAATATATATAATCTCAAACTGAAAAACTGCAGGGGACAAGGCTATGACAATGGCGCTAATATGAAGGGCAGACATTCTGGTGTCCAAAAGCTGATTATTAACAAAAACCCATTGGCATTTTATATGCCTTGTGGTTGTCACAGCCTCAATTTAGTATTATGTGACGCAGCAAAATCATCGACAAAATCCGTCACTCTATTTGGAGTATTAGGAAGACTATATAATCTTTTCTCCGCATCAGTAAAACGTTGGCAGCTCTTAGTGGACCATCTGAAAAATTTTACTTTAAAACGATTAAGTGATACTCGTTGGGAAGCAAAAGTTAGTAGCTTTAAAGCAGTAAGATATCAAATTGGTGATATGTATGATGCTCTAATTAGTCTTTCTGAAAAGGAAGAAAGACATGATCCTATTACTTCTCACGAAGCCTTCACATTATCTAATCAGATAAAAGATTTTAGTTTTCTAGTTTCTTTAGTCGTCTGGTATGATATATTATTTCAAATTAATGTCGTCAGTAAATCTATGCAAAAATCAAATTTTGATGTCTGTAATTCAGTTAAGTTGATCGAAGGGTGTTATAACTTTTTAAAAGATTACAAAGTTACTGGTTTTGAAAAAGCTATTTCCACTTCTTCTGAATTAGCTTCCGAACTTGGTTCTGAGCCAGAATTTATAGATTCCAAAAGATTAAGATACAAAAAACGACAGTTCCAGTATGAGTGTAGAGATGAGCCTATAACTTCTCCAAAAAAAAAATTTGAAGTTGAATTTTTTAATCCTTTACTAGACACTGCTATTTCATCCATTAAAGAAAGATTTGATATGTTATTAAAACATACAGACATTTGGGGATTTCTTTATAATTTCAGTAAAATATCTAGCTTTGAAAAGGATGAATTACTAAAATACTGCGCTGATCTCCAAATAGCTTTGACTGATGGGTTAGAAAGTGATATTGAAGCAGTTTTTCTTTGCGACGAATTAATTAGCATACAACTCTTCACCAAAATCAATGATTGCAATTCACCCCTCGATGTACTTAACTTAATTTAAAAAAATCAATTAGAGGATTTATACCCCAATATATGGATTGCATTAAGAATTTTGTTTACCATACCGGTCACAGTCGCAAGCGGAGAAAGAAGTTTCTCCAAACTTAAGTTAATAAAAACCTACCTAAGGTCAACTATTTCACAAGGCACATTGACATCCCTAGCTACACTAAGTATTGAAAATGTTATTGCTCAAAATTTAGACTTCTCAGAACTAATTAAAGTATTTGCTGATAAAAAAGCGAGAAAAGTTAACTTTCTTTAGATTTTTTGGATATATTTAGTACCTCTGTAACAAAGTTTTTTAATAATAATAAAGTATGTTTTATATTGATAATTACTATACAATAATAAATAATAATAAAACTAAGGAAGTCTATTTTTTTTGAATTTGACTAATCCCATAATTTTTCCTGTTTAATGTTTAAAAAGAGGGCAAAGGGCGCCGAAATAATTCTTGCACTGGTCGCTGAAAAAGCTAGAGCCGGCCCTGTATGCTATGATATGGACCGTACCCTTACGCTGTATTATTATTTTTATTTGATAAAAATTTGGCTATGTGCAATAACCTTGTATATTTAAGCCATGATTCTTGTGACCAATTGTAACCAGGACAACATCACTTTATTTTATACTTCAATAAAACTATTTTCCACCCAATTTTACGACTGATCACTGATGTATAAATAGTTGATGAATGATATTAAAATAAAAGTTCATAATGCTAATATTATATTTATTATTTATGAAGGATGACTTGTAATACACTTCAATAGGTTTAAATATTATCCTATAATGTGTTATAATGCAAATGTAGGTGATGCTTCTTACTCGGCCATAAACAACCTATAAGAATAAAATGTTTTTGATCAAAATTAAGGTTTTTGACTGCAAGAGTACAACATTTTTCTACAGATATTTACTAAGATATGAATACTTACTTTTTGGGGGTTGCTGGTCCGTTGTATTTTCTCCTATAAATAAGGATAATTTAGTTCATTTTTATTAGTGAAAACCATTACCCGGATTTAAATGCCCTAAAACAGATCCAAAAATACTCTAAAAATAATGTTCATTATTAGTGCATTTTGCTAGCAATAATATCCTTAAATTTGACACAACATTTTTTAATACATAAGTGGGCGATGGTTTTGAGTGTTAACCGGTGAACCATATATTAATATCACTATTGCGGCTGTATTTACTAATATATTTTAATATAGTATAATAATGAATATGTTCTTAACTATTGTATATACCAACTACACTACTACAGCTTTTATCCAAATACCTCCAAGCAGGTACATATTTTTCCTGTAATAACTATATTAAGGGCGTAATAAATACTGACAAATTTCATTTCGCACATTCAGGCGTATATATTGGTTTTGTATTAATAATGAACATTTTTATTTAAAATCTATACACTACATGATTTTTTTAAAATACAAATACTTATTTTCATATATTGTTTACCTCGACATTTTTAAGTTTTTACTCTTTTGAATAGCAACATACAGTTTAATTTCATATTCCAACCAGAATATTTTCCTGAATATTTCGATAAGTAAAAATCGAATTTAGGACGAGTAGCTTATAAGTTATAACTCATAAACTACTCGTTCTACGTTCGAGAATGTTAGATTATTTTAGGTTTGAGAATTTTGAGAAGTTTGTGATTTTGATTTTTAATTTATGATTAATGCACTTCAACAGAAGACGATTACTTATCATCAACGTTCAAGTATAATGTGGCTTATACAATTTCCAGTTAAAAAATGAAAATCTTTTCCGAATAAGTTATGCTTAATATCAAAGAATACTCTGAAAGTATCTGCCTAGACTCTTAATGTGTGTATGAACATTCATATTACTCATTTAAGATTTAACACTACCTACATGAATGTAGATTACGTTAATGTTTATTATTCTCACATGATCGTAAACTACATATGGCAAAGTAAATAAACATTATATTTAAATAATATGTATAATACCAATATATTAGATTATAATTACCTTCACAAATTAATGTAATACAAAGTATAATAGACACCACATATATAATAATGTAATTACTACAACGAACCATGATTGGGATCGTTTATAAAAGTTCAATTATACAATACACAACTGATGTTACAAAATAAATAAAAAATAATGAAATATTGCTTTGAACGTTTTTTCTTATAATTCCATTACATAGTAGGTAATGCTTACAAAACTCTTTTATTATCTGACTATCAATGACAAAATATTAACACAGTTCACAAAAACATTTCGTGAAATTATTCAGGTGTGTAAATGATAAATAAACAATTACCTACACTACATTCAATACGTCTATGGCCTAAATGATCTAAACAATAGGTATCTTGATACATTGTATCCACGTAATACACACGTGTGACATGTGTTCAATCCACTCGGCACAGACCGCAACACAAACATGGAAAAATAAAAGTAAAATATCATGTCTACAAAAAATGTTAACATAAATGTAGGTACACTACCCTACCATCCCTATGTCCGAATTGTCCACAAAAATTTATATCATTAGTTAGTAACCAATGCGTAGCCGTTCGTAACCACAAATTCAGAATTCGTAACTTGATTCTAAAGACGAAAAGTCCGTTTTTCTCCCTTAGTTCATCGCATCACACCTGAATTCTGAAAGTATCTGCTTGAAATCTATTTGAAAATTGAACAAAGATTTACTAACCGAATCGTGTACATAAACTGCCAATTTTCGTACTCTATTGGCCATTTTATTTTAAAATCTGAAATGTTTTGTCTGATTGCACGTTGTAGTACATAGCATTACCAGAGACGGCCCAGCCCCCCCCCCCCTCCTTGGACATATTATTTCCTAAATTGTTTTAATTATTCTACAGATCCTGCAAATATTACTATATTTCAAATTACATAATGTATATGTCTGATAATATAATATATTATTATACGTATCATTATAGGATAGTACTATATTAGTTCATTGTGGACAGTGATTCCAATATTGTAATCTTACATTAGCAAAACATTGTGTAACCCCCCCCCCCCCTAGATCTTTGCTCTGGATCCGTGTCTGACTATTACTGATAAAAATATGTTTACTTTATGAATCGATTAATTTGATGATTAATAACATTTTTCATATTTTGACTGATTAATTTGAAAAGTATTACCATTGATTATATATTAGTAAATGTAATAAGATTATAATCGTATTGTTACTTACTTACACCGCTCACACCTAATAAGTAATAAATAATAAGTGGTTATGCAGTAAACAATTGTTTAAAAAAAGTCGCTGTATAAAGAAGATAGATGGCGCCACGTATACTATATTTCTATATATATTCCTATATTTGAATATTTCCATCCAGCGGAGTTGGTCAGTACTCAGTTTAATCTATATGAAATATACTTCAAGGTGTATTTATTTACAATACATATAAATACACCTAGCTATGCTTGTAACCTGCTTTGTTCCTCCGTAGACTCCAATAGTGAAGTGTGATCTACACATTTTTTTAAAAACCACTCGATTTGGTATTTGCATAATACATGGTAAGTGGACTTTTTTGAGCTTGACAACCAAATCAAATAATAATAATTAATAAGTACATTTTTCCCGTGTAACCATAGGCCCAAGAAAAAAACAAAAAAATTCAATTTTTTCTTTTTTTAAAGTCAAAATTCATTTGTGAGCTATATCTTATATAGTGGTTGAATTTCAGGAATCGGGATAAAAAGAAGCATAGTACTTATGACATAATGATATTCCTCGAGTCTCGACAGATCTATATTGATATAACTGTTATCGAAATCGATCCAGTGGTTTTAAAGATTAGCTGTAAGCCTGTAACAGGCAAAACTCAATTTCACATGTACGTATACAGTTAAACGATTATAAAATAAATCAAAATGAAACAAAGAATAGTTACCTTAGAACCGATACGGCTACACATAATATAGGCTTTTATAAATAGAAATAGTAATGTACCTATTACTTATTATAATAAATAATAATTAATAAGCACTACGGTATCAGTGTACCACGATTATACGTCGTGACGAACAAGTCGTAATTAATAAGTTAAAAAATCTTCATATATAAAGCTACCTATCTTAAGTGTGTTAAATGTACCTATATGAAGTGTAGGCAGATAATATTTTATTGTTAATTGGTAATGTTACTATTGTTACTTGTAACTTGTTGGTTATAAATTCCATTCCTCAAAAAAAAAAACATTTTGAAAGACGTCGAAAACAACTTCATAATACACTTGTAAGTTGTAACTATATATAGAAAATAATAATAAGATATGAGTACTAAGTTTGAGTAGGCACAATAGCTGTACCTACTTATAGTCTATATAAAGAGTACCTACAACTTATAAGCACTTATTATTTATAAATTCCGTACGTATGTACGAGTCGTGGTATCATCCCGTTTCGCCGAATCCCACTTTGCCGACAAAAAAGGTGCGTTTCGCCAGCACTGCCACTTTCAAATTTTAATATCAAACATCGACAGTATTATGTACTTTTTTTTGTACAATTTTGTGCAACTAAAATAAAATTTTGTACACCCCCCCAAACACGACCAAAACCGTTTTTCTTATGCGCGTGCTGGAGAAACGTTTCCCCAGCACTGCCAATGTCGAATATCTGAAAAATTCAATTTTAAACTGTACAGTATTATGTACTTTTTTTGTAAAATTTTGTACAACTAAAATAAAATTTTGTACACCCACCCAAACACGACCAAAACCGTTTTTCCTATGCGCATACTATTATGTTCTATACTTGTGTGTATTTTAATTGAATGACAAAACAGTTTTTCCATTTTTCAAATCAATTACCTGTAGTTATTAAAACTGTCTAAAATTGTATTACCCATGCATATTGTAATGCAGTATAATACATAGGTAAGCTTACTGCTTAGTGCTCATTTATATATCTACGAGTAACTATTGTAGTCATATAAAAAATATGCTTTTTATCATAGACATAATATTATTACGAACTATGCGTTTAATGAAAGTCATCACATTTTATACTGTGCGTATTATCAATGTCCTATATAGTATATGACAAAAAAAAGGGGACAAAATGTTAATAATAACCAAATAATATCAGTAAATTAAATATTGTGCCTGTTGTTATTAAAATTAGTCTTCCCCGTACTACATCTTTCCATAGTTTATGGTGGCTGAATGCAAATATCATTAATACAAAATAGAAAAACCCCTGAAGCTTGTTCGAACATTTTANAGCTTAGTGCTCATTTATATATCTACGAGTAACTATTGTAGTCATATAAAAAATATGCTTTTTATCATAGACATAATATTATTACGAACTATGCGTTTAATGAAAGTCATCACATTTTATACTGTGCGTATTATCAATGTCCTATATAGTATATGACAAAAAAAAGGGGACAAAATGTTAATAATAACCAAATAATATCAGTAAATTAAATATTGTGCCTGTTGTTATTAAAATTAGTCTTCCCCGTACTACATCTTTCCATAGTTTATGGTGGCTGAATGCAAATATCATTAATACAAAATAGAAAAACCCCTGAAGCTTGTTCGAACATTTTAAACCATGTTATTTAATAATAGATGGTTATAGATTATCTTTCACAAAAATAAAAATTAATATTTTTTTTAACAGTCGTATCAGTTGATTCAAACGGTTGACACTGATTAATTTTATTGTTGTCATCATTCAATTAAAATATACACAAGTATAGAACATAATAGTATGCGCATAGGAAAAACGGTTTTGGTCGTGTTTGGGTGGGTGTACAAAATATAATTTTAGTTGTACAAAATTGTACAAAAAAAAGTACATAATACTGTACAGTTTAAAATTGAATTTTTCAGATATTCGACATTGGCAGTGCTGGGGAAACGTTTCTCCAGCACGCGCATAGGAAAAATGGTTTTGGTCGTGTTTGGGGGGGTGTACAAAATTTTATTTTAGCTGTACAAAATTGTACAAAAAAAAGTACATAATACTGTCGATGTTAGATATTAAAATTCGAAAGTGGCAGTGCTGGCGAAACGCACCTGACAAAAAAACCAGTTTTATATGGATTGATAATAAATCCCATTTGGCCGAATCCTATTTTTCCTAATCCCATTTTGCCGAAAACCCCTGGTTTTTACTCATCAGAGCTTGAGTAAATATGTTATATTTATCATATATGTTACGCAGTGTGAAACCAAGTGCTTTGAATCACAAAACAATATTGTGCACATTTAGAAAAGACGACCGAATACGCTCGTTACGTATATAGGTACTGAAAATATTTGAACCCGTGCGATATGATCGCCGAATAGAGCCTCTATCTTATTTTTTACTATCGATACAATGATTATGATACGTACCGAACAATATATATATATTTATATTATAATATATTTACATTCATATTTATTTTTTTTAGTAAATATGCACTACAAGTTAAACACAACTTTATTCTCTTTACATGTGTTTCCTACGCTTTTGAAGAAAATCGATATATTATAAAAACGGGAAGTAAGCTATTTCAGGTGACATCGTCGCGGAAACATCGTTCCGTAATCTTATCGCTGATAAAGTGACAATAATAATCTACAAATATTACACATATAACATATAATGATGGGTTTACGCACAGTCACGATCTTTAGTTTGCAGTCCCCTTTTCCACTCGTGTCAAATAAGTTTTGTTTTTTAATAATTAATATGTCTTGGTATAAAATTAACTCAAACCGTGGACACCCGCTGTTAGTAGTGAATAATTATATACACAGAATTGACAGATCTAATGAAAATAATGAATATTACAATTTTATGGATGGGACATTTAAAGCAGCACCTCAGTTATTTATCCAAATTTATACATTGCACAGTTATGTCGTAGGAATAATGATACCATTGATAATTATAAAAGTAAATTAATATGATATTTTAGTAAATAATAATTATTTCATTTCATTTCATTTTAAGGTGTATGCATTGCTATCGAACAAAAGTACAGCAACTTATTCGAGAATGTTTATGGTAATAAAAGGAGCAGCTCTAAGGAATGGATTAGTATTTAACCCAAAAACATTTCTAATTGATTTTGAAATTGGTATGATTGTTTCTATTAGAGAAACTTTTGGCTATGAAACATCTATAAAAGGATGTTTATTCCATTTGGGTCAAGCGATTTGGCGGAAGGTTCAATATTTAGGGCTTATTCATGATTGCAATCAAAATGGCGAGATAAAAAAAACGGTCCGCCGTATTTGTAGCCTTGCTTTAGTACCAAAAGACCAAATAGATTATTGTTGGATAGAAATTCATGCCCAAGCGCCTGAACATGAAGGTAATATTTAATATATATATTCAGTACAATTGTTTACTCTTTCTTTTAATTTATATAAATAAATTATTTAGGTTTGAATAGACTGATGAGTTACTTCGTAGAAACATATTTGGATACCGATGTCTGTATATTTAATCGTAGCATATGGAACCACTACGAAACAGACCATACGAGGACAATTAATCACCTCGAAGGTTGGCATGCAGCACTTAACAGGACTATAAGTCGACCACATCCAAACATTTTTATTTTGATCAAAGAACTAAAAACCAGTAGCAAAATTTTGAGCTTGATATTCTGTCTCAAAAAAAATGTAGTCGAGCTCCAAAAATAAGAAAAAAGTACAAAACGTTGGAAGACAGACTAAAAATTGCAAAAGAGCAGTAAATAAGAGTTAATTTATTACCTATACAATTATAATATATTAATTCCTACAATTATGTTTTAAATTTTAATTCAGACTTGGAAATGGACAAATAACAATTATGGAATATCTAGACGCGATCATATACCACTTTCATCTTGAATAAAAAAAAAACTTTTGATTTTACCTAACCTAACCTATATATTATACATTTATACATAACCTGACGATACAAATAAAATTAAAATTTTATTTATAACTTTTTTTTTAACATACAACGAAACAAAATTGTATTTAATTATAATTCGGCGAAACGGGCCTAAATCCGAGTCGTATACCTATAGGCCAAAATCTATAGTACTTTTATTTTAATTACCTACCAATAAGTACCCACGAACTACCAAAATAACAAAATATTCTAGTCTACGAATATAGTTATTAAAATATATCACTGTAAGTATATAAAGTTACAAAAGTAATTAATTTTTTTTGTTTAATAGCACTTAATAAAAATAACGAAAATCCACAAATGATTATGTATTTAAAAAAACAACATATCATTTTCGATTTATTTAGGTAACTCATACCTATAGGGTTTGAGAATGTACAACAATTTACAAATATCGATATTAAGACAAAGTGTACCTAATATTAAGTTTTAAGTTCTAATTGTCCGTCTCCTTCTCTCGAAATTGATCACAGTCACAGCAAAGGTAATGCAGGGATCAGCTATGCAACAACAAGACTATTCTACGAAAACAATGTCATGAAAAAAAAATGTTTTCACGTCATGCAAGGATAGGCTATTAATTATAAAAAGACACTGAGATAACCAAAAGTTAATGTTTTGTAAGGACCATGGTCCGTGGTACAAATTTCAATGTCTGGTTGTGCCGGGGATATGTCTAGCACTTTCGTCGATTTCCAGTTTAAAACCCCGCACTTTTGGGAATTTCCACTTTAAAACCCTATTTACTTTACTTTTCCACTTCGTATCTTCCCACTTCACCGAAACCCAATTTGCCGACAACCCAGATCACTGACTATTTATTTATACATTCCCAATTCGCCGAATATAAATATATAAAAATAAATACATTATATTATACTAGGTAGGTATATAATAAAAGTCAATGTATTTAAAAAAATTCAAAATTTGTATGTTCATGTAAATAAACAAAAAATTTTATCCACGCAATGTCAAAATGTTAACTTAAAATGTTTATAAAAAAAAATCTTTCCAACGTATATCTTTAATATTTTTAAACGACTTACACAAAACGAAATTTTTCTATCGATATTTATAGCCTAAAAAACTTAACTAATTAGAAACTGAAAATATCTATGATTTATAAAAAGCTAAAATAAATGTCAAAAATATTTTGAAAATGTTAAGAAAATAACAAAATAAACATTTTGAGAAAATTTCAAGTAACTATATGCAGTTATTGGTTTTTGAATTACAATAAAATAAGGAAATTGCCCGATGAGAAATCATTTAGTCATAAATCAGTATTATATTCATGATAAAAATATCGATCAATTCACACTACTTAAATATTGCTATTTGCTAATAACTATTGTCTACATTGAAATTGAATAGTCGGCGCAGTACGCAGCAATTATTATTCGTGTTTTACATCTATAACGACCCGACGCGATGTAATCACGAAGTATATGAGTATAAATACACTATATTATTATGTACGCATAACACATAGATAATATTTTACTCGTTATTTTTATTATTGTCGAATTTTTATCATTAGCATCCTGCATCGCAAAATAAACGAGAGCCATTGCAGTACGTCCGTGATTAGGTACACACCGAGGTCCGTCGTACAATAACTACAATATTTATGCATAAAATAAACTTATATAACAATAGTAAATACTAAACACATACATAAGTTAGTTGGTTTGCGATATGAATTTCATAAGATAACGCGTATTTACGCATAATGTTATTATCATAAAAAACTACGAGTTATAATATGATGTCAATATGGTGTAGTTTACGTTTATAAATATGCATCGTGCCTACGCATAAGAGGAAATTCATTGAAATTTTATGGGGGCTAATATTTTTAACACACATGGATGGTTTGCTCATGCTTGGAGAGGGGGTCGTCATAAATTATCATCAAAAACCAATCTAATTTTTGTATTTTATTAATTTTTTTTATAAATAAAATTTATTATTATTGATTTAAATACTATTTTTTTCATTAAGTACGTACAAATATTTATAATATCATTAAACAAAGATGCATTTCTTTGCATGTATTATATTTTAAATTTGCTTTTTTATGAATAAACTTAGTGTATTAAAAAAATCACAAACAACTTTCATTATTTTCCAATCTCTTTCAACCAATATTTAAATAATATCAAACACTATTTTACAACTCCTTTTCGGTATTGTGGATAGTCCGATGTATAAGGCGGACGTTGAAACGATTTTAAATGATTGAAGTTCATGACCATTATTTGATTTAGTTTTATACTTATATAACCTATATCAATATAAATATTAACCATAATCGTTCATCGATACTCAATAGTTAAATAGCTTATCAATCATCATAAAAAAACATTCGGGGGGGAGGGGCTAATTGAGCATTCGCGAGCCTAGCGGGGGATTTCCCCCCCCCCATCATCACCAATGATAGTACAATTCATTATGTAGTGAACTAGTGAATCTTAATCAGTATACAGTATAATATTGTGTATAGGTTATAGATAAGCGAGATAACATGTAAATAGGTATAACCTACTATAATAAGTAAGAGGTACCTATATTATCGTAATATGCATATTATTATACGTAAACACACAATATAAACTAATAATAGTTATAATATTATTATATTAAACACTATATGCAATATGCTATATATACAGTAGTAGTAAATAAATACACATAACACATATATAATAATAAAGTATAGTTACATCACTATAGGTATTATAATTTATAGTAAGTAGTGGTACCTACAGTTCTGAAACAATGGGCAACGACGAAAAATCGTGTTTCCGTCTTATTGAACGACCCTGAAAATGAAAACCAAATAAGTATAATAATCAACGACTATAATATAATAATATTTAATGACGACAAAAAAAACACAAAGCGCGTAGAACGGGAGCCGTTGGACGTGAACGGATTTTCTGAATAGTATGACACTATGACGTGTAATAATATTATTATAATGATGATGACGATAACATTGAAATTTCGAATGATTGAACAATAAGTAAGTTGTCCTATTCCCCCACCGCCAACTGATCCATCATCGGTGACTATCACTCGTTCATCCGATCAACAATAACACCTGTTCTGGAGTTCGGGCTGTTCCGCACCAAACTTCTTTCACCCATTCACCTGAATACCTGATCTATTAGAATTTATAAGTATTTAGCCATTTAAGTACATACCACCGTCACCGCCGCACCTGTATACGGACTACCAAGTTCCGTTATTTTATGTACCTATACATATATTATTATGCTTAATTAATCATTATTATAATATTTGTTGAGAGTTTTCCTAATGACGGCTTTACTTTGATTATTTTTCATCTGGGTTGTGTGCAGGGAAACCAATTTTGTATACGTATAATTTACAGTTGAAAAAATCGACTACACAACCCCTTCTTATAACGAGAAAAAACAACCGTTATAATAAATAATATCATAACAGACATTTATATATAAATATACCTACCTACTACAGTCAACACTCAAAACTCGACAGTACTACTTGTAATATATATATATTTTTGTATGATGTGTAAACAGACTAAAATCGTGACAGTTATTAAAACTGATAGTGCCTATAGAAATCAAACTTCCAAACATCAAAAAGTACCACAAATACTGAAGTACCAAATAAGTAATAACATCCACTATTAGGATGCAACAGTGGACTTGCGCACAGAGTAAGTAAACGTTTCTCCCCCATCGACCAAACGTACTTTTGCATTTGCACATACCGTGCAGTGTGTATACGTGTGTACTGTACAGTAATATTCACCGTAAACGCAAACCAGTATCTCACTTAAATCAATAACCGTTGTCTTTGAACAATAAATGTATAGAGGTAGGTAATATTAATATATTATCATAGTTAAAAATGTATAATATAGGAATTATTAAAAGATGGGGCATATAAGCATATTATAATCTAATTAAGTAAATACCTACAATTATGATATACTTACTTATTACTCATTATTGTTGCATATGACCAAACTCATTTTAACGTATAAAATATAAATTGTATTGATATTATTAACAATGTATTTTTATTACGAAAGTTTAGTCTAAACACTCTAGACAAAAATACGCATTTTGTATAAAAATTGTGTTTTTGAAAACCGTGTTTCAGAATTCTTACGAAAACTGCCCATTTGTACATTATTATGTCTCGTAACGCGTTCCCATTCCCATAGATAATATAGACAGAGATCATGTGGTCTATTAAGACTTAAAAGATTTATCGAAAATCGGTGGTTATAACTAGTTATAAGTATTAGGTACGCCGCGGGCGCCGATTACTGTAAATCGTGTACGTACTGAATACTCTGTACTCGCGTACTATAAATATTATAACCGATTTCCGGGCTGATGAAATATGATTATTAATGTACGATGTACTATTGTATTGGTTAGGTATATACGTATTGATAAATATTAACTATATGGCTATATGTATAATATATAGTGCACTAGAGTGCAAAAAACGATAGTGCATGTTGGTCGGGAGATTGGAGCAACTGCACCAAGTATATAGATTTACTAAAAAGCTACCGAACAACCACGACCCGAAGTAACCAACAAAAGTTTCAGGAAAACAAGCTAAAAAATAAAAATACAACATTTACAAAATATAAATTAATGAATCACTAACTTATATTATGGAATTCTATGATAAATACCTATATTATGTAGCCACATAATATAGATCAAACACGGATAATCTGGTAGGTACTTATTTAGTAGTACCTATAATAATTAATAAATAATTTTATTATAAAACAACTATTTTTTTGATAAAAAATAAATAAAGTGTTACAACTAGGTACTAATAACTATACCCACTAAATAATTTAATGAAATGAAAAAAAAAATAATTATTGGAAGGTTAAGTAACCTAACCTACCTATCGAAATTATATGGCCTCACAATGGATGATGTTTAGTGGTAGAGATAAAAACATTTTGGACCCAGTTTCCGTGTATAAATGAGCATAGATATAATGGTAGTCTTTTATTCTGGTAATGTATATAATGTGTAAGTATATAAATATTGTATTGCATAATTTTCTATATACTTTAAAAATCATTGGATCCGGTTTAAACATAAAATGCTTAGTACCAGAAGAAATTGTGGTAAACGGACAATGGACATGTCGTCCACGTGAAAAAAAACCAGTTCACGTCGAAAAGTCTCAGTCAATCATTAAGAGGACGCTACCCACGAATTTGTTATCCCCGGTTTACACACGTACCTACGACATAGACAATTTTGGTGCACTAGTTTCAATAATGCCCTATTACCTGTTAGTTTTGATATTAGAGTGAATTGACCTACTATCAAACTTTTAGCTGAAAACATTATCTGTGTTTAAGTTTTGGCGAATTTTTGACATTTTTGTTTTAAAGCAAGATACGAGTATGTGAAATATCACAAATTAAAAAATGTTCATACCTCGATTGAAAATGAAAATATCAAAAAATCACCTACGTTCAAACACAGTTAAGAACGTTCCTACCTGAAAGTTATTTACCTGTTGTACATAGTTATAGTTTTTTTAATGTACCTATATATAAAAATCATGTAAAATCAAATGATAATAAACTTAAAAATAATTTTCAAATTCAAATTTTGGATTCAAATACTTCTATAAACCTAAAGTATTCTGAAAAATTATCTTAAAATGTCAAAATAAATAAAAAATAAAAAAAACATCTTATTTCTATTCATTACAAATACATTATTAAATGCTTATGTTTTGAAACGATCTTCGGGCAGCTAGATTTGGAAAACATTGCAAAGTGTATTGAAATCTCAACCTTACTTAATACTTGGTACCTACAATTCACATTTCACGATATTACCTTCCTGCGACGACGAGGAAAATTATTAGTTTAATTCAGCGACCGGTCGCCACATCGTTACTATCGACGATTGACGTTTCGCCTGTACTCGTCACTCGGTGTACATATAGTGTAATATAAAATATAACTTGCACAGAAAACAGAAAACAGTACTCATGTAATGTAGGTATCATGTAGTTCATAGTTGTACCTAGTAATATTGTTGTAAGGAATATAATGCGGTGTAGGAAGGTGCGCGCGCACCGCGGATGTTTTGATCGGATTGGCCTCGGGCCGTCGGGCGGCGGTCAAATCATATGTTTTTTATTATTGTTTTTGTTCCGCGCGCGTGTGATAATAACAGCGGTGGCGTTTGGATGGCTATCGGGTCGGCGGGTTGGCAGGGAGGCGGTGGTGGTACACGCACACACACTCGGTACACGCTCTGTGTGTGTTTACTGTTTTCCTTTGTTCCGCGCGCACGGCCGTCGACGACGTGCGTACGCTGGTCTATACCCGAAACGCAATAATAATCGCTCGTGAGTCGTGTTCTTGTGTCCTGTGTGACGGACTTTTTTTTTTATTATTAATGTAATATATATTTTTTTCTCCATACGCATACGCATATAATATATTATTATTATTATTATTATTGTGTGTAACAGTATAATATGTAACATAGTATATTATATAGTTGTCAATAAGAAAACGACAGTACATAAATTATAATATAATATAATATAATAACTAGGTGTACGTATATTATAATATATTTAAGTATTTATTATACTTTGATGTTTTCATACGAAAAAGAAGTACAGTAGTACAATACACCAACCATTATATTTCGTCATTGTCAATTTCGGTCCGAATTGTCGTCGCAGTACATTGCCAAAGTCGAACGAACGGCCGAGACGGAGACGCACTCACGGTTTCTATTTAATTTTTGTTTATTTATTTCATACATACGAAATAATCTATAACTGTATACACTGTATACCCGCAGGGTCCAGATCAAGAGCTGTGCGTGGGCGTCGAGGATTATAGCAATAATATAATACAAATAAATACATATAATTATATATATATATATAGGTGTGTATATATATATATATATATATTATATATAGATTATAGTATAATAGCAATTGAGGTTCTGTGCCAAAAAAAAACCTGTACGTCACAAACTGCCTTACATGTGCCGCTGCCGCTCACAATGTCGTGGTTCAATTTTTGCACAGAGAACCTGCAAAAGAGGTGCTGTCGGTACCTCCTGCAGAGGTACGTTGGACGGTTCCTCGAACACAAGATCGAGTCCGACCAACTGTCCATAAATGTGTTGGATGGAGCTGTGTCTATTGAAGACATTGTACTTGATGTCCAGGTTAGTTTTCCATTGTCTTTCATTCAACATCAGCTGTGCTGATATTCAAACAATAGGTTACTAAATGTGTGTTACATTTGTCTGATTATATCATTAACAATGATTCTATTGGTAATAGATTATATTATATCCATTGTCTATGCACTCTATTTACTTGTTTTGTAAAAATTAATTTTAAATAGTAAGGTACCTAATCTATTAAATACATAGGTAATAACTTTTTTTGTCATTTTTTAGCCCTAGGTAGGTTTTTACTTTTATTTATTAACTGTAGGTACCCATACCCACTCAGCTACCTTCTAGGTACCTTATATACTTATATTATTTAAAATATGGTTCAATTGTTATAATATATAACAATGCATGAAAATTATTTAAAATTCTTTCTCATTTCCAACTATACAGGGTGATTTATCAAGCATGCTCACCCCCATTTTTTTCTTTAATAATGGATTGATTAAAATTCTGATTTTTTAAATTTTTAAATATACCTACCCAGTCAATATTTTCAAATTCTTGAATTTTACTTGTACTATTTAAGGAGTGACCTGTAGCTATGAACAATTATGTTTTTCAAATAAGAACTCTCCTTTTTTGCTCTATTTATATTTAGTGGATATTTTTTTGAACATTTTAGAAATTAGGAAATTTCTGGATTTAAGAATACCTACTCGTGGTTTTTATTTATAATTAAATCCGTATATTATGTTAAGGCACTGAACGATGTAGGAGACGAGCATCAGCTACCATTTGAATTTGTCAAAGGTAGTGTGCAAAAAATATCTCTTTCAGTACCATGGAGGAATATGCTTAAAGAATCCAGTGTCATACACATTGAAGGGCTCAGTCTGACTGTTAGACCAAACGTAAAAGAAACTGAAGGTAAAGAAAACCTGGGAAAAATTTGATTATAATAATATACCAAAAATGTTTTTTTTTTTCAGGAATACCTAGTTCTATGTTGGAATCGGTTTGGTCGTCCATGTCAAACAGTGTATATTCTTCGCCAGATAGTGATTATGAAGAAAGTTTTGATAATGCACCAGAATCTGAACAAGTTTCTGGTCTAGAAGTGTTCACTCAGGCCATAGAATCTAGTAAATTTGAATTAAATTATTTAATTTAATATAAGTAGTAAGCCAAGCCGAGTGGGGCCTAAACCTTAGGCCACGTACCTTATATTAAGCCCTTAGGCTCCACACTAGTTAAACTAATCATTTTCTGGGCCCTGTAAACGATAGAAATGGCCGTGTCAGGGATGCATAGTTAGACAAGTACTAAAAATTTGATGAAGCAATAGTTAGGTAATGGCCCATTAAACATAATAAAGTAGCTCACAACTTCTCAATTAAATTTTATTGTCTTATTTAATTTATCGAATTTGTATGAAACTAAGCAGATGTATACTAATAATAAATATTTTTGAAATTTTAGTATTGAACAGAATAAAAGTGAAATTTTCAAATACTGTGATAAAGTTAGAATATATGCCAGATTTTATGAAATTAGGATTAGGATTACAACTGCATATTATAAGGTAAGTGATGACTTAATAGTTTCTAAATTATTCAATTTAATCTCTGTTCTTACAGTTTAGATTATATTGATGAAGTGGCAGATGAATCAAAAGAAGGAATATTATATGATAGCTTAGCTTTTTTGACCAAAAAGTTAATAATTGAAGGAGTGTTCTTACAGACGTATGAATTTAATTGTCCAAAACCTAATAATGAAAAATCCGTAAGTTATTTTAAATTTATTGTCTTAAGATAAATATTTCATTTTTTTTTTTAATGTTAAAAGTGTTGTAATATATTCAAGACTGAGTTATATATCAGTTGTACAATAGTTTTTTATTTATTTATATATATATTTTTTTTTTTGAGAACTTTTTGGGTCAGAAGAAGTCCTCCTAAAGTCTGATCGATAGAAAATGTGTTTATTGGTTTTTTTAGTAATACAAAAAATAACCATTTGAAGAAATGTCAGCAAGCCTAATTTTATTTAAGTTCCTTCTATTCAAAATCTTTATTTAATTATATTTACTAACATATACATATTTTTTTTATTAAGAATTCAAGAATAAACGCGACAGAACCAATAACTATCTCTGAACTTACCGGTACTCAAATTATCCGAATGGTACTTAAACATAATCCTAGTCTTCCTGGTCCAAAATTGAGCTTGGAAATAAACTTTGGACCTCTGAATGTTATTTGTTCCCCAAGACAACTGTATTTAGTCATAGAAATCTTGCGTGGCATATCTAAGCCTTTAATAGAACAAAACCTAAGTGCTCCCGTACAAAAACCAATGAGTGAATCAGACTTCAATCGTATAGAATTAGATTTATTTAATCATGTTGAGTCTAGACCTGATGCCGATGTTGGTTTGAGAGGAATGCAAGGATGGTCAAATTTGCAAGGTAATTTACAATCTCAATTCACGATTTTGGTAATTTTTTATGACGTTTCCGAAATTAATTTATAAATTATATATTTAGATGATGAAGAAGAATTTTTCCCATTACAAGGTGCCAAAAGTAAAACTTTTGCACCCAGTATGAATTCATCAATGACTTCTAGTATGAGTAGTGTGGCAAGCAGGTAATTAAATATATTCAAACTCATTTCGTTAAAATATTAATACTTGATGTTTTTTTAGTAAATCTGAATTGTCTTCACGCCATACTAAGCATAGAAATAAAAGTAATTTTTTTTTGAAAATTGTTAATTATTTTATTTATTTTTTAATTTTAATAATTTTAATTTTAGGTAAAAATGAATGGTTAGGCGAAACAAACCATTTTAATATACAATTAGCTTCACTCTGTGTGGTTTTGCTACACGACGATATTCTTGCTGTTTGCCCCGAGACTGATTCCATTACACAATGTTCTCTGAATGAGATGCGTAAAATATCTCATCAATATCTTATGGCTGTTCAAAATGTGGACATTATTAAAGATTGTGATAAGATTACTAGGTCTATAGAAAGAAACCATTTGAAACTCTTAGCTACAAATGTGATATTGGAAGGTGATGAAAAAACTAACGAGACTGTAAAAGATGTTAATATAATTGCCTCAGGATCTGATGTATTATTAATGGAAGTTCTTGTTGAAACTATGGAAGAACCCACTCAATATATTTCGGTAAAATCTTTTGCTTGTTAAATCATAATTAGTTTTGACACAAGAACTTTGATATTGGCAGATTTTAAAATTTGTCCAAGATGACAAGTGTTCTCCAAAAATATCAAATGTATCTAGTCAGCAGCCAGACATTCAAATTCAATTTAAACATAATACTAAGTCTACAAGATATTGTAATCCAGTCTCTTCAGAAATCAAGTAAGTTTTTCTAAAATTAATGTTTTAAATCATGTTTAAATGATTTTATTTTTGTAAATAATAATGGTTTAAATTAGTGATTTTGTAGAAAATATTTAAATATTATTGTTATTTGGTAGTCAATACAATTTTTTAAAATTTAATGTTTTCTTTATTTTTGTAAGTTAATTTTAAATTTATATATGTTAGTTCTTGTTTCTAAAACACAATTTCTTTACTTTACCCAATAGAGTAGACTATGAAATGCTTACTGTAATTGTATGTTAAAATTGATAAATTCCCACTTCTATATTATTTTATTTAAACCGTTTAAAAAAAAGTTTGGTCATTAATAATATTAATTTTAATACATTATTGCTTTTATAGTACCTAAAATAAAGAAAGAAGAAAATTGGGGGAAGGGGTTCAAACGTTAATATACCACTATTTGTAGGTACTATGTAGTATAGTACAACTATATTATTCTGGGTATTTCCATTATATTTTTTAAATCATCATGATATTTTTTTTCCAGGATAACTATGCAACAAGCATTTTCTGAAGTTGATATTTCAATCATTAACCGCTTATCATCATATATTTACAATCCAGATTTTATGATTTCTAAAACAAGTACCCTCAATGTATGATAATTGATTGTATTATATATTAAAAAACTGTATGTTTCAATATTTTTAAATTTTATTTTAGGTTAGTCAGCCTCAGTTTAATGATGTAATTGAATCTGTCAATGATACTAATATAAGTTGCACTTTAAATTTTAGTTATCTATCAATTAAGTTTCGGTAAGAACATTTTGTAATTATTTATTGATAATAATACATTTTTGCACCACTACTATTTATACATTAGATTTCCTGTTCCTGATTTACGACCACTAAGCGATATAAATCGATTACCATGGTGGAAACGTATATTAAGAGATGATATTTTATGGTTGTACTTATCTGATGCTGAGGGTTCATTTACAAAAACATCACAACAAACTGTTACTACAGGTTATGAATTGCAATGTCGGTCTATTGAAGCTTTATTTCAAGAAGGGAACACCAATAATATAATTCCCATTGCAAAATGTAAAGGAATTGATGAAGAATTAAAATCTATTGGAATGGACGCTAAACGTAGACCAAAGTAAATACTAGTTTTTTGATGTTAATAATTTTTTACTATTATTATTATTAAGACATTAAGAAATATATGTCAAACCATAGATATTAGTAATATCATTTTTTTGTTTTAAGTTTTATTTTTATTTGGAATAGTTCAATCACTATTCATACAATTCAATGTAATAATTTGTATTAAAAAAAAAATAATAATAACTGTATTATTTATTTGAAAGTGATTAATAAATTAAGTTACATTAAGTATTAATTAGTTAACAAATATTGAGATGATTGAAACATGAATCACTAATTTTTATAGTTGTAAAATTATAAAATTTGTCTTACTAAGTATAAATACTTTTTTTTTTTAAAGATTAATTTTAAGATTGTGTCCAGTTGTTAACACTGAAAATGAAAGAAATAATGGCAATTCAAACGTTGAACATAACATGACAAGCAGTGTTTATGTTGAATCGTGTAAAAAGCCATCGCCATTTGCTTCCAAAAAAATTATGAGACAAAGAAATCATCATTCTGACGGTCAAGAACAGGAACGGAAATTAGGTGATGGGGAAATACAAGTAGTTCCAGGTTCTAGAGAAGAAATAATGGAATTTGTTGAGCATACCAATGCTAATGCTAAAGTGTATTTAGATATAAACTTACCATGTGTATTTGTCACATTACCTTCCAAACATCTATATGAAACCATTTACAACAGGTTAATAATGCATTTATTTATAACATTAATTTTGTACTTAAAATATATTTTTCTTTTTAGATTTACTAATGATTTATTTTTTTGGTCTCCGTCATTTCCGACTCCTGCATCATCGGGAGGTGATACTAATCGGTTATCAAATATATTGGATAAGACTCGATATTTTGCGCCTTGTAAATCCGGAATTCAGTTCGGTAAATTAATAAAAGTTTTGAGATTAAAATCTTTCATTTATATGTTGTATTAATTTAATTTTCAAATAAGATTCAGAAAGTGAATCAGAAGATGAAACATCCAATTATTTTTATTCGTGTGGACCATCTAGTATGAATATTGCTGATCCTATTGTTAAAAGAACTGATTTTTGTCTTAATTTGAATGTGTCACAAGGGTTGTTTACTATTGTCACACAATCTAGGGTAATTATTAAAATTATGTTGATGTTCATTAATTTCGATGAAAAAAATGATTAAATGATTGAAGAATTTTGTGATAAAACATTATTGCCTAATATAAATATTTTGATAGGACCGTTCTGGGCGAGTTATACCTCATCATTATGGCGAATTGCAAATTGCATTTGATGATCTTTATTTATACACAGCAGCTGGTTACGAAAACACACCTAGACATAATTTTATTTGTATTCAAGCTAATAAATTCTGTTTGAGTCATGAAAGTAAGTTTCAAACAATTTGACGATATATAACTATTCAGTGTTTGTGTATGTATCCATGTAAACTTTTTATTTAGATTTGTCCACAAACGGTACTGACATTTTGACTCCAACAGAAGTTATATGTCGAAAAAATAAATCATTACAACGTGTGTTGTATAAAATACCTGATGGTATGGATTTCAAAGAACTATCCGATATTAATAAGTCTGATATGTTGACAGTTGTGGTTGAAATATCTGTTTGCAATCATATAAAAGTAATATTATTTAATAAATTATGATAATTAAATGATTTTATAACCTATTTATGTATATTATTTATATAATATAGACAATAAGAGTAGCAAATGAGATCTATGGAACCACTTTGAGGCATATATTTAGTATTGTTGCACAGAGTTGGTATTATCAACTATCCGATTTCTTTGATGTTGTGGATTATCCTGTCGCTGGATATGAATCGCCTCACGTAATTACAGAACTACATCAGCATATTAGCGATTGTATCATTGATTATAGGTTAGAAATTTGTTTAGCTATATTTTAATTGAATCCATAATTTAATCATTTGAAAACCTTACAGGCCACTTCATTTGCCATACCAGTGTGTACTTACTATTGGCAATTTTAGTTTATCAAGTAATATTGTTGCCAGATCTAAAGCATCAACTCTTCAAATTGTATCTGAGGATGTAGCTTTCTTTATTTCTGCTCGCTTGTCTAAATCAGAAAATTTAGATTTAGTATCTCATTATATTTGTGTAATGGATTTGGGTGTTTTTGAACTTTCTTTAAAGCTTAGTAAAAGTTCTAAACAATCAAATGATTTGGTGCAACCTGAAGTCGACTTAAGAATGGCTGTCAATGTTATACACATTAGAACTTGTGCAGATTCAGCATTTGCTTTTTGCCGTGTACTTAGTTATTTGGCTTCTGATGGTGATAAAAGTTCTGTAGAAGAACAAGCAACTGAGTTTGAAGGAGTTGATCAAGAAGATCCTGTTTTGTTAGATCAAGCAGATTCTGACAATAATTCATTATCAAGTCTTATAATGGAAGCTATGCATGAAGAAACTACAGATTTAAAAAAACCTAAGAACAGCCCAGTAGATCCGATTATAAAACAAAACTCAACATCAAGTCAAAGTGATAAAGGAATTGAAGTATTTTATTTTCCGGATGAAACCAATAAAATAGTCTCTCCTTTGGATAATGAACCATCATTACAGTATGAAGTAGAAGATGATTATATTGATAAAGAATTTTGCTTCGTTGAACATGAAGTTGGTTCAGGATTAATGGTATGGTTTTAGATTTGTAACAAAATGTAACAAATTGTGAATTATTAATTTTTCATTAATTGTAATTAGCCTCGAAGTAACATACCAGAAGTGCGTATGTTAATAGACACTCAATTACGTTTGGTTAACAACTATTTTAAAGCCCCTGTTGGAAAAATTGATATGCTCCAGGCTCCTAAGGAATATCCAACACCAGTTGTTAAATATACACTACGAGAAATGACTCTAATTTGGCATATTTATGGTGGAACTGATTTTAGTACTAAAACTATCCATAATGAACTGACAAAACATGTCACTATAGTATCAGAAACGTAAGTAAATTTGATTGTATATTAGTTTAAAAAAAAACAATTAATTGTATAATTAAAATGGTGTATATTTTGTTAAGGAATTCTTGTCCAACTTCTCCAAATACACTGAGGCCTTCTCTTTCTCGATATTATTCTCAAACCAATATAAACTCACAGGTATTTTATTATCAGTTTTTAAACTATGATTCTTATTATAATTTTTAATCCTTTTTTTATTAGAAAAATCCTACTCCAAAAAAAAAATCTAATATATCTCAAGCCAGGACTAGATTTTGCTGTAGTGTTTTACCTACCAGTTGGCAGGCAAAGGGTGGTACCGGGCGACAACACCATGTATTGATGCAACTCCAGTTGACTAAAGTATGTTTTTTCTTATTATATTAGTTAGAATATAAAATTAAAACAGTTTTGTTATTAGGTAAGATTCCAGCATGAAATTTACCCATCCCATACCAAACAAGCAATGAGGCAAGTTATTCTGATTCAAGACGTAGAAATTCGCGATAAACTTGCGTCATCTAACATCAATAAATTTTTATATCTCTACTCAAGTGAAGCAATGCCTAAACAACAGGATGCTAATATGGTAAGTGAGGTCAATAGATTATCTATCATAGATAGTTTGAAAGTTTTTTTTTTCTAAAATACAATTTTTTCTTTGTTGAAATAAATATGTTGATAGTTTGTTGCTAAAGCTGCCCATACGCGTCCTGATTCCAATCTAAAAGTTCAAGAATGTTGCGTAAAGGTTTCTATGTTACCATTAAGACTTAACATTGATCAAGATTCATTGATATTCCTGATCTCATTTGTAAATCAATTCAATGCACTTGGTCAAAAAACTAAAGATGGTATTATTATAACTTCTCTATTTTATTAAATTTTGATTATTTTGTTTTAAATTGTCTTTTGTAGAAATATTGGCTGAAAAGAAAATACCCACAAAATCAGAAGAACCAATTATGACATTAGGAAACACAGTTGATGGCGAGCAGGATATTGCACCTAATCCATTGATTCAGTTAAATGATGAATTTGATCAGCATTTTGGACTTAAAGATATACCTGTTATTCCTAAACCAGACACTGGCACTAGTCCAAGTGACAGTAAAGCTCCTGTTTACATAAGACAATTTGTGTTTTCTCCAGATGTTACTATACGTTTAGATTATGAAGGACGACATATTGATTTGAGACAGGGTTCATTGGCTGGTTTACTAATGGGATTAGCACAGCTCAATTGTTCAGAGATCACTTTGAAACGCATTGTTCACAAGCATGGGTAAGAAAACGTGATCATTTTGTTATAGGTTTTGTGCCATAAATTAATTTTAATTGTTGATTTGTATAGTTTACTTGGATTCGAAAAACTATTGACATATGTTACCCAGGAATGGTTACAAGATATAAAAAAACATCAGCTTCCATCATTACTTGGTGGTGTAGGTCCAATGTATTCGTTTGTCAGATTAATACAAGGCTTCAGAGATCTAGTGCAACTTCCTATTGAACAATACCAAAAGGATGGAAGAATAGTCAGGGGCTTGCAACGAGGTGCCAATTCATTTACTACATCTACAGCAATGGCAGCTCTCGAAATAGCCACCAGAATTGTAAATCTCATTCAGGTTTGTAAAAGATTTCTATCAAAGATGAAAATAGATGACATTTATATTTATTATAACTATTTTATAGAGGGTAGCTGAAACTACTTATGACATGGTAAACCCAGGACCTAGTATGCGTCAACTAAGGCTACAAGAAGGTAAGAAAAGAAATCGTCATAATAAAAGATCACATCCTGCCGACATTCGAGAAGGAGTAGCAGCTGCTGTTATGTTGGTTAAAGAAGTTAGTGTTTATAGTTAAAAATTGCTTTATTACAATAATTATTATTTTTATAAAATGGTTATAAAAAGGTTTGAGATCCACGGAAACTTGCTTTCTTGATTACAGTAAGAGTAGTAAAAATGACTCTAATATACTAGAAAAAATTAATGATACAAATATCTGTGGATGTAAAACCGTATTTACGCTTTTATATAAACTTAAGAGGGTCTTAGCATATAGGTTAGTAACCTTAGTTAGAGTATATAGGTTATAGGTAATATTACACATTTAAATTGTGATTTAAAATCAATTAGGTTTTTCGATATATGTAGTTCAAAAATGAATAACCGCGGACTTCTAGGCATGATATTATTTCATAATGTTATGGCTTTTTGTTAATTTTTTTCACTTTTAAGTTCTAATTTTGACAAAATTTGATGTTTAAATGAAAAAAAAATTATTTTGCCCTTAACAGTATTTTAGTTATAATGTTTGTAATTCAAAACATATCAATCATATGAAACTAATTGCCACAACGTATATTATAATTTGTATTATATTATAAACAGTGAAATTCTCAAAATAATAATGCCATTTATATAATATTATATACTGTCTGTCTTATGATAAGCGGTTTTGAGGTTTAATTTATATTATTTAATATCTATTATAAGTTGATAACAATTGTGTATGATATAATATAAGTTATAACACATATATGCAGTGTTAGGATTACCCCGGTGTTCATAAAATAATATGTGCATTGGTACATCTAACCCATTTCAAAATATATTTAACTATTAAGCAGCTATTTCTTAAAATATTAAGTTATTAAGATTCCCTTAATATGGATTTTACCTAGTACTATTCTAAATTATTTTTCATTGGGACCATAAATTATGAAAGTATTATTTTTTAGAAATTAATATTATTAAATTTAGTCCCATACTGTATTAATTTAATAACTCCAAAAAAGTGCTCATAGTTATAATAAAATATTAATTAATTAATTATCTTGCAATCATTATGTTTGTCTAGAAAAAAAATACATTATAACTTTTCCGAGTGTTATTTAATATTTCTGATCTATAATGTTGGGTTTGTTTTAGGGTCTCGGTGAAACTGCACAAACTATTGTTAGAGTAGCAAGTGAAGAGCACGAAATCAAGGGCACAGCTGGTATGGTCGGTGGTGTTATGCGGCAAATACCTCCTACTGCCCTTACACCCATTATACTCGCCAGTCAAGCAACATGCAATGTACTTCAAGGTGTTCGCTGTCAACTGGCACCGGATGCCCGTGTTGAGGCAATGCAAAAATGGAGGTGCGACTAAACATCGACTACATATCAAAGACCAAATTACTTTTATTATATTTTCATATATTTTTTTAATTTAATGATTCATTTGTGCATTTTGTTTCCAACAATCAAAACTTTTGTCTGACAATTGAATAATAGAATGTGATTGTAGTATATTTTTGCTAAACCTAAAGCATGTCTACGTATTTTATTTTTGAAAAAAAAGCTATTGGTTGATTAATAGTTGTACGTAAGCTACTTAAACACCAAATGATAAATATAGCAAAAACAAAGATGCAATCTATTATATAATATATTTTTTTTCCAATTCTAGTGCCATAATATTATGGTTCCATTATTCTTAGTCTGTTTAAGGCATAATTGTTTTGATTTGTTATATGTTAAATTTTATACTATTATCCAGATGTTTAATTTGTCATTTTGAACATTTTGTACATAAAATAGGAGAAAAAAAATTAAAATATTAATTTTGATGATTATCTTATTGTATTTTTTATTATATATAGTTTTACAACACTCAGGTACAAATAATATTTTAAATCAAAACCAGTTTAAGAACTTTTAAGTAAGGCATATAAATTAACATGGACATACAAACTGCAGGGAAGACTTCAACGAACATTATTATTTCTTACTTCAGTAAAGTGTTGTAAGTAATACCACGGTTGTCCACACCGTGTAAATAACAGTGATAATACATATTATTTGTAGTGTTATATGCAGCTCGTAGGAGCCAAAAGATTTGTAATTAATATAATCGTAATATTGTATACTAATATAAATATCATATTATTCCTTATTTCAATTCACAACCACATCATTCTAATAGTTATTTTTAATATTGATAAATAAAATAAAAGTCCAACTTGATTTATTTAATATTTAACAATTAGATATATTGTTACTCTTCCAAGCACATTCTTCATTAGCTTTCCATATACCACTGCCGTCTTCGTACTGTTCTTTTTTAAAAATGGGAACAGTGGTTTTTAATCTTTCAAGTATAAATGAGACAGCTTCTTGAGCATGTTTGCGATGTGGAGATGAAGCGGCAATCACTACACCAGCTTCTCCAACTTTTACTTCGCCAATCCTTATACAGAATACTGATTATTATTAGTTTTCATTAAACAAGCTACATTTATTATACCTAAAACATAAAAATATAACCTGTCAATTACCTGTGATGTATTGCAATGTTCACAACTTCTGGCCATTTTTGTCTAGTCAACACAGTGATACTTTTCATTTCATTCAACGCCATTGACTCGTAAGCTTCGTAAAACAATGTTTTTACTTTATTTCCATTAAAGTGTTCTCTAGTTGTTCCAATAAATATTGATACAGCTCCACATTGTGGCGAGTTGACAGAATTCATAGCAGAGCCAATGTCCAGTTCAGAATTCACGATCTTTAAATCAATCATTTTTTTTAACCTGACAACAAATTCAATCACCAGATATTTTAAATATCGTTCCAGGGATTATAAAAAAAAAAATTTGTAATAATTTTGATTACTACCTCCACTTATTGGCGGAATAACAGCCACAATGTCTTTTGCTTTTAAAGTAATTTGCAAGTCGTCAGATATATAATTCTCATTGACAGCTAATATAAATACATTTCCTATGGACAATAAATTAAATTGGTCTACCAATAAGGACCGTAAATCGTGTCCAAGTAAAGTTTGTGGCAATTGAACAGTTGTACTCTTCACTTTAGACAACTCACGAGCTTGAGCAAAAAATATAATTGTAACATTTACCACAGTCATCACCTACAGATATAAGATATATTATTTTATTTACAAATCCTGATTAATTTATATCGAACATAATTGGTTGGTATGCAGTTGAAATTGTTAAATTCACTTATTATTAAATCTAAATTTATAAAAATTGTTCAATTGGATAATTTTAAGATACCTACCTGCTTAAAAAATCTAAATTACCTCTTAACGTTCATACAGTTATTTATATAAATAATAAACATAAATTAATAGTATTTAGCAATATTTAAGAATTAAAACATTTTTGACTAACTACAAACAAAAATTGTTTTAAACTAAAAATGTATAGAGGTTAAACAACAATTAACAATAAGTATTTCAATCTTATATGGTTTAAAATTGGTAGCCAGCCACACCTATCAATTAAGTTTTTATTTAAAAATGTACACTTTACAAGATAAGAATAAGTACCTCCCTACTTAATGGTTATAAGAAAAATATAAAAACGTTTATATGTATAAGGATTTAATCCGAATACTCAAAACAATTTTTTTTCTAATCCATAAGGTGAACCAGAAGGAAATTGTAAGTAAATAAACTTAAATTTTAAAAAAAAATAATAATATTTACTTGAACAGCTATAGGTATTCTATTTCATTTGAGTACATATTTTTTAGCAGATACAATAATAATGAATTTATGGATATCTATAGACTGTAATAGGGTAATACTGTAATTGTCACAACAAATGGAACAATCAATGACTATAAAAACATACTAGAATTTAATTGAAAAAATTAACACTCACTTACCTTGATAATAATTTTAAGCTATCGAATGATGGTTGAAAAAAACTAAATGATTTTTTATTTAATGTTCGACAATTTATCATTTGAAACACGAGTGGACGAGAGGTTAAACCGTTTGCAATATTAAATAACAAATTTCCTAAGGCTTCCCGCGTGTTACGTAAGAACTGCCCAATAATAATAGTAATAAAGTATGCAATCATCATTTTCTTAATTTTCCGTTTTCTATACACTTTATACACTTTACTATACACATGCTCGAATCTCCGATGATAATATGATTATCGGACAGTTAGCTAAAAAATAAAAAACGATAACAGTTCACGATTTCTGCCAGTGGCAGTGGCCACAGGCGTCATCTAGAAGCACGCTAGAAGTCAGCTGTGACCAGTGATTTCTACCTTCAGCTGTGTGGTTTCGTTCACGTTTAAACATGTTTAGACGACCATTGGTTTTGCTATCGGTAATACACATAAACATTATAAACGCCATGTACACATATAATATAATACTGTCGTGTGTTAGGACGTGTCTTCCATTGTTATTGTTTTGGAAAACAGCTGATCGCCAATAGCTGATTACGGCCGATTCTCGAAAGTAAACACAATAAGACGTAAATAATGGCAGTGAAAAGACACAATTCGATGTTTACGGTTTACTACGTCTTAGTTTTTCACTCTTGTGTCTGGTCGTCCCGTTCGCAATATTCAGTATTACACTGAGTGATCACCGAGAAGTGTTTATTCACTTACATTACTGTGCAATTATTGTTTCATGCGAAACTCGAATAAATTCTGTCGATAAAATTAAAGGTTTTTCAACCTCGAATCGGTCGAACGGTCACGAACACCCACTGTTCCATTGGATACAAAATAAATTGGATCGAATTTTTGCCGACCAGTAGGGGTAGGACACTTTGGACATTGATCTTACACACAGTAGCGACTTAATTCTAAACAAATGAACTTACTGCCCTAACAAACGGCAAAGTATCATATTCCTAATCGTCTGATTTTTTTTTTATAGCCCATCAAGTCGAAACAGATCCCATGGGTCGAATATTCCTCGATCACGTTGGCGGTGACCGACTGTACGCCTGTGCTGCATGCGATACTAACCTGACTAATCGCGACGAGTTGATTAGTACAAGATTCACGGGTGCAACAGGTCGTGCATTCCTATTCAATAAAGTTGTAAACCTCAATTATAGGTACGGTGTTACTGCTTCATTAAAATAATGTAAATTATTAGTAGATAGATACTCTTAAGAGGATGTTGTTTGTTTTCTTTCTTTGGCCTATGCTCAACAGTCAACTTAGACAAAAAACATTTAAGCAGAATCATTTTTGAGTAATCTTAGAGTAAAATCACCCATTACACAAATGATAGAGATTATTATGTTTGTGGGTGTGACATATCATTTTGATCTAAATATTGTCTCAAAACAATATAAATATCATTTAAATTAACAAAAAAAAAATTTTTATTTTGGAAATCAAATAATAATAAAATATAAAACCGATATGTTTGCTGACTCTCAAAAATATTATCCTTTATAATTTTTGTAATAGGTGATTTTACTCTAAGATTACTCAAAAATCATAAAAATTATCATAGATGAGATCGTTTTATCTATGTTGAGCGTTGGCCTTCTTCGATCTAAGTTAACACTTATAGTAATTACTAATTTTACAACAGGAAATAAACTAGATTAATACAATGAATTAAATTTGTTTTATTTCTTAATAACTTAAAAGATTAATCTGTAAATTATTATGCTTATCTATTATTTTAGTTGCTTTTGTGTTAACAAATTATTAGTTTTTGCCAATTCTTGAAATTCTTTATTTCAATGTACTTAATTCTTCAAGAAGTTTTTAATATCATGCAAGAAGATTGTATAACTTAACACAGATTTTTAATGACAAATCAGTTGTCAAAAGCAATTTATTGGGGTATTTTGTTTTAAGCTGGTCTTGATGTTTAAAAATACAACACAGCATAATTTTATGGACTTGATTGAAATGATTGCTGTTTATCACATTTTACAATTTATTACAAAATTATTTACATATTATCCGTATTACATTTGAAATGAATATTAAATTATAAATTATGATCTCAAATCTTTCTTATAGTGCTTAAAAGTAGAAATTTTTATCATTCATTATTATTAGCTAATAAATAGATACCGCTGAACACAATTTAAAAAAAATGCATTACTACATTTTGTGTAATGTAATTAGTTCTATATTTGTTGCCATTGTTAATTGCTATTGCTATAACCTGAAAATTATCTAACATTTTTTCATAGTGATGTGCAAGATCGAGTAATGTTAACTGGTCGTCATATAGTGCGAGATGTATCCTGTAAAAATTGTGACACCAAGTTAGGATGGATATATGAATTTGCCATGGAAGAAAATCAGCGCTATAAAGAGGGCCGAGTTATATTAGAAAGGGCATTGGTTACCGAAGGAGATGGTCTTGAACATGAAATATAAACATGCTTCAAGATGTTGAATTGTACAGTTTTGTTTTACTTTTCACTCAAATTGTATTATATTCGATCTGTAATATACAAATATAATGACTACCTATAATTTAAGTATGATCAAAAAATAATAAATATACATTTTTTGATGTTCCATACAAATTACCAATAGTGGTTATGTTATTCAATATTTTATACACCAAATATTAAATTTTGAACTTAAATTAATTAACGCATTTAAAATGTATGTGTACATATTTTTTTAATTATATCGCATGTTTATAATGATTAAAATTCTAAAAAAATTATATTACCGGTATGTATTGTACCTATGTATCATTAAGTATATTATCTATTAATTTATTTGTTTTAATATTATTTTGTTAATACAATTATTTTTCATGTAATTGAATAATAAAAATATTAATTTGGCTTGTGGCGAGACACAGTCACAAAAGTTTTGTAGTTTTATTTATTACATTAGCTCCCTCCTCCTGTCAACTTGAATGTTCGGTTAAAATAAAACCGTATCTTAAACTTATATATATTGATAAAGTGCTTGAAACGCTTTGTAGTAAGGATGTAGTAAATACAATTTCATTAACTATTATTTTCAATTTCTTTAATGATGTTAATCTTGTTGATACTTACCTTTTTTCTGGTATCGAGAGATTCGCACATACATTTTATATTAGTTCACCAAATTCGATATTTTTTTACTTAATTGAATGATGATTATTGCTATTGGTGATAGTATTATAGGTGATACAATAGTTGCCTATTATGATTGAAAGTTATTTTCTGAACTCTATTAACAATATTTTGTAATTTACAGCATTCATGCCTATCCAATTAATATTTATGTTTGTAAAATTGAGAAACAATTTTTATATATATTAACAGGACAAAGTGCATGATTGAGGTTTACATACAAAAAAATTCTGTACTGATTTTCTCAATTTATGTATAATATACCTTATCAATGTCATCAAAAATGTTGTACATTTTTTTTAAAATTATTTTTATAGACAATCACATTGGAAGATTATTGTGGCCTCCTGGTGAAGCAGGAAGATATCTGGGGTGATTCTAATGTTGTTAGTAGCCTTCTTGAGACCGAACATAATAGCTATGCTAAATTTCAAGTGAATTGGACACATACTTTCCAAGATCATTCAAGCCAAAAATGTGACATTTAAATTATTTATATAGATATAAAGATAGATAGATTATACCATGCATAGTTGGTCCAGGAAATAAATTTAAAAAAATTTGATTTGACAAATTGGTGAATTTGATACAAATCGTGACATTAGGATTTTTTTTAAATTTTAATTTAGAAAATATACATTCTATACCTTGATTTTAGAGTCACAATGGATATTATAATAACAGATATAAAAAACCATAAACCATATTGAAAAAGAACCTACTGATAACACTTACAGAGTTGGGATTTGAAATCAATAAATTGTATCACGATACAATTTATTGATTTAAAATCCCAACTCTGTAAGTGTTATCAGTAGGTTCTTTAGTGCTTTAGTGCATATAAAATTAAAGTAAATTTATGTCAATTTTTCCTTAAAAATGGTACATCGAGATCTACTACATAGTTTAGGTTTCCATTGCCTAAACATAAATAGGGGAAAGTAAGTAGGTATTCAATAGTGTAAACTGAAAAATAAACTATTTATTAATACAATATAATTATATTATCTTTAATACATGTAAATTTATTAAAACAAATACATATTTTTGGCAACAATGTAAGAATTGTCTGGGAACAATTACAGGCACGCCTCACAGGTAATGTTGGACATCATTTACAATTGATGTTACGCTTGCAGAATTCTACAAAAACACATAAGTTTATTGTTCAGTCTGAATCTTGTACTGATTGCGTCTGATTATGGATATTGGCAACAATATTGATGCAGAAATAAGTATTTGACAATTATATTTTTAAACACAATTGATACAATGTGGTAAAAAGTAAGATACGTTGCTAAAACTAAACGTTACAATAGATACAAAATTAGATATCACAGTAGGTATTTATTCTTAAGTGTTATTTTCATTAAAAAGTTTGTCCACGACATCACCATCACCTCCATTAATATACAATTCTCGTTTAAGTTTTTCACACACTTCTTTTTCTAAAGTACGTAATAAAAAAGTGAATTAAGGATTATTTTTTATTATATTGAATTTAGCTATGTTATCAATAATTAATTGTTATTATATCTGTAAAAATGATGATAAAAAGGATATTATCAAGACCAATATTGTTTTGATGACAGGCTAAAACCAATAGTGCAGCTCTATAAACACGGTCACTATTGATTAAGATTTTCAATACATCATTAAACCTCTTTAATGACAATAATACCAAAACAGCTTGTTCCTACAACAAGTATAAAAAAAATTATAATCCAAGATTCTGAGAAATTATTTTTAATACAAATGCAATACAATGTAGAAATTTGCCTACTCAAACAGGTGTGAAAAAAATGTACTGGGATTGTTGTATCATATCATTGACATGGTTCATTATCCCAGTGAGAGATAATGAGGAGTTATGTTGTACCATTTTGAACCTACAAATTTCTATAATGTATTTTACAGTACTTAGATGGTTTGGACTAATTTGAAATACCTGATTTCTATTAGATAGTAAATGGTCTGCCCAACTTTTTAAGACTGTATCAAAGTCGTCTTTTGATAATGAACACTTTGCTAACCATACGGCTTGTTCCCATCGATTGTATGATATAAGGTAGCGGCAAGCTTGAGATCCTTTGCCAATCATACATAACAGTTGAATACCTAAATTAAATAATGTTTTAAAAGTTATATTTCATCAGAAGGAATTAATTTACAACTTTACCTTCATCAATTTTATTTTCTGCAATGAGATTAGCTGCAACCAGTTTAATTGTACTCTGATTAGCAGTATTGGAATCCACAGTAGCAATTAAACAAGCCCTATCAATTAAATATTAATGTAAAATTTAAAAAAATAAATGTTGAAAAAAATTTACTTCAATGCATCAGTATAATAGTTTGGATCATTCACATTGGTTGCTAAAAGTAAGTCTAATGCTCTTGTTTTTTCTCCGAGTAATATAAATTTATCAGCAACACGTCTCATGTGCATATAGTCTCCACTTTTCCATTCATGTAATAAGACTCGTTCTAATTGTATTTTCTAAATATTTTTAACAATTTTTTATTTAATAATGTGAATATGAGATTATACTCAAATCACCAAAATGCAGTGGTTACACTTTTTAACCCTAGAAAATATTTAAGTAGGAAAGATATAGAAGCAGTTTAGGATTTGTGATTTCTTAAATAAGTGCATTTTTTATTATTATCAAGTATCAACATAATATTACGTTATAATATCCATAAATCATTATGTAATTGTCAAGCTATCATAGTTATCATAGTTGTACTAGCGGCTTTTATAAAAAAAAAAAAAAAATATCCATAAAAACTATTCTGTTCTTTATGAGAAAATCCTTAAATTAGTAGTGTGAAACACCCAATTATTTAGACTAATAAATGTCAAAGATGGTCCAGATTATTAACCATACATTTTAAAACATACACAAGACATACCATAAATACAGACTCTAAAGCGATAACCGATAATCAGCATTAATAATAATTATATGTGCCATGGCGTGGAACAGTGGCTAACTGCAGATTGCTGAAACTAAGGCGTCGCAGCTCTCGGATGAGTGACCACTCGAGTTTTTAGTGACAAACCATGGCACAAATATACAATACCATATGTTACAACCATACCAACTCAAAAACCTACTAAAAAATATAAAGAAAATAACCCCCCACCGTACCATCTCATAACCAATGGCCTCTGTTGCCATGAGGTTTATCCTAACAATAAAAATATTTATAAGGAATACATTTTAAATATTATAAACATTATACATACGGTATACTAAAATGGCAGATGTCTAAACAAGTTATTTAAATGCCTAAATTCTACTTTACTTTTTATAAATAAAGATAACTATAATTCTTCTATTATTACTTTGAGTAGGGGTACTTTAAATCAAAAAAATACATATTTCGACTTACTCGATATGTAGCACAGTCACACACAACATCATAACAGGAGTCTAAAGGAGGGACAACACTTGTAGCATAATCATCGCCCATCATGATGTAATGAAAAGCCACTGTCCAAAATTGGACTTCATTCTTTAGTCCAAGCGATTGACATACTACTAAAGATCGTTCAGCTATTTTTGTACATAATTCTAATTCTGTCCAAGGTAGAGAATGACAGGCATTTTTAATAACTTTAAAAACATAAAAATATTAACTACAACTAAGTGGATCAGATTCAAAATTAATAATTTTATAACAATTTATTTTTACTTACGGGATAATTCATAATTATTAAAACCGAGTTCTGTGCTATAAACTTTTTTACAAGTAGCCGAAAGCCAAAAATAAAACATCTTACATAAATCACGGTCTAAAATTGCAGGAGGTCCCAGTAAATCTGAAAAAAAAACAAAAAAATAATATACATGTTAAAAAACACATTAAGTTATAAATATGTATAGGGTGGTTTTTTAAGTATGCTCAACCCCCCATTTTCCTTTTAATTATACATTTATTCAAATTCTTGATATTTTTTGTACTACTTAAGGAGTGCCTGGGCCATTACAAAACCTCTACTTTTAAAATGAGCATGCCCAATCCCTTTTTTACAGCAAATTATTTAGCTGACAATTTTCTTGAAAGTTGATATGTATCTTAATCAAAATTCTAATGAGTAGTTTCTGAGCTATTGAAATATTTGTACTAAGAATGATAATCCTTTGATATAATTTTATATATATACAAGCTTTACGTAATTTTAGATATAGTATTTATTATAATTGGACCATTTTTTTACAATTTATTTATATTGATAGATTAATAGTAATTATTATTTACTTATATTTTCAAATTACATAAGACCCTATTTCTTATCTATACCTTATCATCTATTCTTAGTACACAAAGTTAT